GGGATCTGCTTGTAATACAAGTATTAACATCATACAGCGGTTCCAGTCAAAAACGCTCAGAGTAATTGTTCTCTGGTTCTCGACTAACGAGTACATACATCAATACACTGGAGTCAGATTTGTGAAGGATGAGATAACGGAACTCAGCAGCAAATACCAACATCGGCTGGAGAACTATTCAAACCTCTGAGCTTATACACACTGAATCTCATCGACGAAGATTGAAACGATTTAAACCACAGGACCTCCATAATTGCTTTTAAAGTTAGTGTTAGTGATGTCTAAATTGAGAATAAGACTTATTTGCGTGTATGCGTTCGTCAGTTTTTCTTTTATAAGCATTCTCTTAATACATATTTTTATTTTTTCATTAATTAATCCAGAACTAGAGCTTGTTATCTGTTTTTATTTTTTTATGCTTGTAGATAGATTGCTTTGTAAAATTTAAAAAAAATGTAACAGTTGGTTATTTAGGATTTTTTTATTATGATTTATATTTGTTTATGTAATATATATTTATATATTTAAATTTAGTTAATTTAATATTAAACATAATTGTATCTATTCCAAATAATGATTGTTATAAATTAATGTAATAGTTTTTTTGACTATATTTTATGTAGTCTCGAATATAAATAATATCATTTAAAGCACATTTTAAACAGTTTCACAACATAAATTATATTTGTAATTTACTATAATAGTGAAATTGCTATATATGGATATATTACATGTATGTTTGTGCGTTTAAAAATAATTCTGAAAGCGGAGAGTAGTTTAGCAGGAAAATGTAACAGGAAAACGTCCGTCTTGCAATGTTCCAGTAACCCGGAGGGAAGGATACAAAAAAACAGAAGAGAGATAAATGAAATTGAAGCTAATAAGAAGATATAACCAGAAGTGGAAAGCCGAGTTTGTTTTGGTGTATATGTATATACGTTGACGGCTTCAAGTACATCTATAAACACAAACTGGGTTATTCTAACCAGATACCGTAATTTGTTATCTATTTTGCCACACCTGCCTCACATTATGACAAAATTTTTGTTTGCGTTCTCTTGTAGGAAGGAACAACGTTGTTGGCACTTCGTTCCTGTCTTCTTCGAAATCATTTTGGTTTTATTATTGTTTTCTCTCTCCCTCGGCTTACCTCTAACATGAAGTGTATAAGTTGAACTCGTCTGAAGTCTATCATTATCTCTAAACATCGCCGAAATAATGAAATTTTGCACACCGCGCCTATAATTTACCATTAAGCCGGACAGGTTTAATCGCAATTAAAATCCCAGAATACATACACAAAAAAAGAAAACAGATTAATCAAACGATGTGAGATAGCGATGGAATCAATATTTCTCAGAATTTCTCATTGTTTTCTTGCGTTTCTATACAATTAAAAGATATGTGATGAAAATAATGCGCTCCAGAATAATAGAAGAAGCTCTAATGACGTTCTCTTGCATCAAACAACAACAACATAAAGAACTTTTGCAATGGGAGCCACATTATTACCATCAAATTTGTTCGTATTTTTTCCCAAGCCATTTTCTACTCATGCATATTGTTTGATGCTGCTGTAACGACTTACATAAGAATATACCTTGTGAGTGTGTGCTTTTTTTTCTCCCATCGGATCATTTCAAATATCTCAAATGCAAAACCGATCACATGCTAATGAGTTCTTCTCGCTTGATCATATCTCCATATTCAGTTATATTTAAATTTCACATAACGCTTACTCATTTAATTTACATTTTTTACCTTGTATGAAAATATAAAAAAATATTTAAATGTTTCAATTTTAAGTTTAAAAAAATAGTAGTAAAGTGCACTTGCAACCATTACTGCACTTGCAACCATTTAACTCTTTGAACGGCTAGATTATTTGTAAAATGTATTTATAACAATAAAAATTTATATGCATAAAAACAGTGCATAGTTTTAATAAATTTTCTGATTAGAACGTGGTAATTCCTCTTTGTACATTGCATGTACATCCGCCCTTTATAAAGTTAAAACTAAATTAAGCTTATATGTCTTTGCTTGTCCTATTATAATTATATAATAGTAAATAGGGTTGTAACTCATTTAACAATTAAATATAATATCAACTCATAAAAGTAGAATGACAACTGTCATCGTATGCCATAAATTATATATGCATATTATTTTTGTTTGTTTTTTTTTCTATGTCATTCGCATTTCATTGATGTAGACGGAATATAATTGCCACGCAATGTGTGTACATATATGTTTTTCGGCCAGTTAGCTTGTTGTTGTTCCACTGATCCATATTTAATATTATTTCAGTTCAGTATTTTGTAAAAGTTGTAATGATATGAATGCCCCCGAGAACAAGTAAAACAAGTGTAAGAAAAAGAAAAGGAGGACGAAAAAAAAATGAATATTGCAATGAGAAGAAGAAGTAGAGTTGCCCGTATCTGTGGAATCAATTATATATGTACGGATTACCGAGAGATGTTATCTTCGGGTCGTTGTTTCTTCTTCCTTTCAGTGTATTGAACCACATACGGAATTAGATATAATAACCCACATTAATCATAATTATCGTTGGCTCGGTTCGAATAAGTAAGAGCGCATGAACGAGAAGAAGAAAATAATAATAAAAAGAAAGGAACGAACGAACGAGCGAAATATTGTGTGGTGTAATGATAATAAAAAGGGGGGATCGTTAAAATTACATTACGCCATTCGCGGCGGCGGCGTCGGCAAAAAAAAATCACCAAGTGACTGTAATCTTTTCGCTGCTCCTTTTACGATTTATTTCTCTAATGAACATGTTGAAATCGTAAAACGACGTCTACAACTTAAGTTGTTTTTCTTTAAATTTTTAATTAATCAGATTAAATGTATTTTTTTTTGTAACAGAACAAATTAATAATTGTTAATAGTCAATAATCTATAACATCCTTGAAAATATTCAACACAAGTATTTAAAAAAAAGAAAACTTTACCGATATGTCAGAACCTCGATTGTCGAACTCATTTGATTTCGAAGGACTGTTAGTATACTAAATATGTTCGAAAATCTAAATGTACAGCGTACATTCATTTCAAAAACAAGGCTTCACTGTATAAGACAATTATTAATGTAGAAAAATTATTTATTATCTAATGCGAACATTGGATGCTATTCAATTTAACATAATATACAGTTAATACAATTAATTACTTGTAAGAAATCAGTTTTCTTTTACATACAAATAAGAAGTCTATATAAATTTCAATAGTTTATTTAAAAAGTTATTGTCTATTCTTTTTAATTTCAGCTATCTCCATCCATTGATATGTATTATATTCGGAATTCAATTATTGGATCTATGATAATTATTCATAATAATGAGATAAATAAGAACACTTCAATTGGAATGAATTATTATTTAATGAACATAATTTAAATTTATGCTTACAAATATTTATGTCATTTACGTGCTTTAACCAAAATTATTTACCATAGCAGTAATATTTTGTGTTGAGTTTGGAATTTTAAAATAGGGATCAGCGCTTTTTTTTATTTGGTATAACTCAAAGATGTTAGACATTTTTAGTCGTATAAAGTACGTATGATACCAAGTCAGCTACTTTGATTCAGTTGTTTGTAAAAACGCAGATTTTTTTATAACGAATCAGCAAGTTTATTTATTAAGGATCTTCTTACTACTCAGTTACTATAGCGAATCATTTTAAAATTATTAATGAAATTATTTATAACAAGGGCTTCCTGATTTATTTTTTTTTTATGTCGTATAGTTGTGAATAAATCTGTTCATCAATGTGAATATTAAGTAAATTTAAGATCGCGGTTGACAATAGATGGATAATCTTTATCGGCGGATAGTTACCATTATGATTTGAACATTAGTAATTACTAGTATATAGATTGCTAGTATATAGATTACTAATTCTAGTGATTTGCAACGCTTCAGCCTTTTTGTGGTTTCACTGTTGTCGAGTAGGCCAATAGCCAGATTTAATAAAATGAAGAGATTTTTGTCTCATTTTACTAGCGTAACATTCGAAATAATTAGTTTTTAAACTATTAGCAAACGACCAAAAATTGCTTCGTGCCCGCCTCTGATATATAGAAACCATATAAAGTATATGATAATCTTGGTGAAACCATACTTCACATATGTAATTGTTTCATAAATAGATAAGAAATCTACGAGGGCGTATGTATCAGATTTTTTTTAAATATCGGAGAATAAATGAATACAGTGTGCATTGAATAACGGGAATAACTTAATTACTATTAATAATAATTATTATTAAATTGAGGATAAATGAAGCATGAATCAAATATGTTATTAAAATTCTACATTTGTTTCATTGGTTGATTAGCTTTAGTCATTCTTAACCCATATCTTGGCCTGTAATAATGACATAATACAGTGGGAAGATTTATTGCGTATGCCGCACAACAAAGTAAGCAGAGCAATTTATATAAGTATGGGTGGGTGTCGCATTACACGGGCAGAAAACCCGAGGCGGATTTTTATTAACCTTGCGAGTGGGCTATACGTTTTGTTTGAGGGGGTAAAAGACACCTCTTTTTTCCTACTCGTACTCGTCCTCGTCTCGTACATTTCATTGTTGCCTTTTATTTCATCTTAGGTGTAAAAATTATAATGAATATTGACCGAGTTGAAATGTTAGAAATGATGAGGTAGGTTGGATTGTATATGTATGAATAGCAAAGGACTGTGAATGACACGTGGGATGTTTAATGGGTGCGGAACACTCACGTGCGGTCTGACCTTCATTTTCAACCCATAAATGCATGTAAACCATAAACCCTATTTAAGGAGGGAATCATCGAGGTGTACACACGCTCACACATTGGAGGCCCACATAAAATTTTAAAATGCACTTTTATGCAACCCAACGTACATTCATTTTGTGTAACTGCTGCGCCCGCCTTCTTTTTTATAACTCCGCCCAGCGAAGTTCATATTTTCATTTGATTTTATTATTTCCAGAGGTGGCAGAGACGCTGGTTTGTGCTATACGACGATGGGGAGTTGAATTATTCCGTAGACGAACACGTAAGTAGTAACTGAATATCTTTCTTGCGGCTTCTGTGCAATGAAGTTCTAATCCTTTCATGTTTTGTAAGTGTTGAGAGTAAGAAAGACAGGAAATAGTCGCGTGCGAACTACTTTAGCAGCAGCCAACTTACAAACATACACACGCACATATGCACACTTCCAGCAAAAGAGTATTAAAACTATTTGCGGTTGTTGACTTCTGTAACTTTGCACTATAGACTGAGAGAATATCATGTGATATTTATAGTGTACTTTCTTCATCTGCATGTGCATATGCTGTTTTACATATACGTACTAGCTATATCAGCTAGATGCAAATCTTATTGCCCTAAGAGATTGGATTGTTTCTAATATTTTATTTTGTATTGTTTACTGTATCTGGTAGCCTGAGACAGTTCCACAGGGATCCGTAGACATGTCCCAAGTCCTGGAGGTCACCGGCGCAGAGCAAATTACAGGACACCCTCATTCGCTTGCATTAACTGGTCCCGATAGGGTGACATTCGTGAAGGCGGCCAGCAGGGAAGATGCTCGATGGTGGGCGGAACTTCTAGCCGTTTTCCCGCGTCGTCACAAACGGAATGCCACTTTCCCTGGTGGCAGAGCATCTCCTTCATTGCCGCAATTGGGACGCAGCGCATCGCCACAACCACCACGGCCGAGACATCTTTCCTGCACGGGCCCCAGCCCTCGTACCAACTTCACAACGCCACCCCTCAAAGAGGAACGCGAGTCACCTAACAGAGAGGATGTCAGGCCCAAATGGCCGCATGATATCTCAACCAGCGTTCCATTAACAATCGAACCAACTCCTAGTCCAAGAATTGGTACGAAAAATCATATCTCTGTTTTCATTAATTGTCGGTATTCAAAGAGTGAAAACATTAATTACACGCATTTTACTAAAATGTATATCTTCTAGAACAGCGGTCGCCAAAACTTTTTGACCTCACGGACCAGTTAATTCATAATTTAAATCCCGCGGACCTCTAATAGGATTTTTTAAGTGTTAAATATATTTATAAAAAAAATGGCCAGTGTGTACAGTATACGACAGAAGTTTTTATAACTTGTCACGTATTGTTATGAATTGAATCATGTTTTAATGCATCTTAAAACATAACTTAACATGATGAGTAAGTATATTCCACATTTTTCTGCCGACCAGCGAAATTTTCTCGCGGACCACTAGTGGTCCGCGGACCACCACTTTGGCAACCGCTGTTCTAGAAGATATTCCAAAAGCTATAAGTAGTATTATGAAATTGCATTAGCTTAATAACACATCACATTTAAAAAAAAAATTAAATGCAGATATTGAGAACAAAATTGGGAAAAGAGAGGAATTGGAAGAAAAAGACTTGTTCAACTTGAGGTAATAACTGCGGGCAAAAAATATATAATTTTGAAGAAATATACCACACTTTAATTGGATCTAAAAGTTTAACTCTAAAACCATCAGGAAAAATGAAAAAATTATCACTTTACCTTCAATTTATAAATAATATAATTAGCAATTTTACTTAACATGATTCAATATCACCTGACAGTTTTCAACCCTTCGCTAATCTAATTAAATGAAAACTCTTGATTAAGTATCGATTTATCAATTGTATATCAATTATTGTTATTTATTTATTTGATAGATTATGTGATGAGTTCCGGGTCTCCTCCGACTCGCGATAAGCTGAGATGTGAGGATAAGGCCCAAGCGCGGGTGCGCCAAGATTGGAGGAAGGAGAGATTCCGAGACATCGCAACGGCTCTCACAGACAGGTCGCCTGAATCCAGCCTTGCATTACCGGCCGAAGGTTTGCTGCACCTAAAAAAGGTAATTACAAAATTACGCATACAGTCTTCTCTCATCATCTCAATGACGAATTTAATTTTAGGGTTGGCTGTGGTTTAAAGATCATAACAACGGTGAATGGCAGCGCCTCTGGTGGGTTCTGTGCGGACCGACGTTAAGCGCTTACAAAGATCAAGATGAGCAGGCGATTCCGGAAGTTTCAGTCGAATTAAGCACTGTCACGAATTACAGTGAGATACAAACGGAAACACGTTACGGATTCCAAATCCAATGGTCTGGACCGACGTTAACTCTAAGTGCGATTACCTCCAGTATACGTTCGAACTGGATGCAGGCATTCAAAAAGGCGGCTCCTAATACAGAAGCACCATCCACTCCGGCCACGCCTCGTTCGGCACTTCTTTCGAGTGACGAAGAATATCGAACAGCTTCCGAAGGAGGCCGAAGAGATTCCGAAGATTGGAGCGAATACAATCCGACATCACCGATGGAGAAAAAAACATTGCTAGGTAGGGTAAGAGACAGGAACCGTCTAAGACCCAAATTACCTCGCAGCCAATCGAGACAATCAACTGTGGACAGTGTATCAACAGATGAACTGGACACTGGTTTTAAAGACAACGATCAAACCATGACTGCTGAAGTTGACGACCTCAAAAAACAACTGACGAACGCCTCGAACGATTTACAAATGCTTGAATCAGAAATCACACGACTTAAGAAACAACAAACCGACTCTGTTATTCGTGAGAAACAATCCAAAGAATCAATATATAATTTAGAAATGATCGAAAAGGAACTGTCTCAAAAGATAAAGCATGCCGATGAAAAATTCTCGAAGGAACAGAAAATTTGGAGTAGGCGGATATCAGACTATGAACGAGATGTTAGTGAAGCCGAAGACAAGTGCAATTCATTGTCACGCGAATTACAGACAAAGCAACGAATTGTAACCAGTTTGCAAGAGGAATTAAAATGCGCAAATGAAAGACTGTCTCGACATCGTCTCGACAACGATCGTATGTTCAAAAAACTACAAGAAATCGAAGGCAAGAACTTGAACAAATCAAAACGAATGGCTTCATTGACCGACTTGACTGATATCGATCTGGATATAGATTTAGATAACCTCAACCAAAACGAACTTATCGAACAGTGCATTGATTTGCGGAGCAGATTCGAAAAAGCTGTGGTTGAAATTCGCGCAGTCAAGAAAGAATTACGCGAATCTCATTTGAAATACGACGAATTAGAGTTAGAAAATGTCAGCCTTAAATCTAGTTTAGACATGGCAGAACAAGAATCCCAAGCTCAGTCTACTTTAATGGCAAGTCGAGTACAGGATTTGACAAATAAATATGCAACCGTTGAAAAACAAGCGAGATCTTTGAAATCAAAACTACAAGATTCTAGAGAGAAGAGAAGATCACTATCGCTCAAAGGTAAAACATATTTGCATTTATATTATAATTGAAATAACTTTTTAATTATTTTATTTAGGGAGAGAAAATTTTTCGATAAATAAAGAGGTTGAAGATAAGGTGACGGAATTGGAGGCGAAAATTTTAAGCTTGGAACACGGTAGGTCACGTAGGAAACACAAAAGAGATAGAAGTACCGAAGTTTCCTCTCCTATAGAGGATAAAGTTTTAAGAAGAATTCGAAGGAAGTCCTTAGACAGCGCTACATCTTCCGAACCAATGAAACTCTTGATGCGTTTGAGCGCTTTAGAAACGAAAGTGAATCTGGTCAACACATCCAACGAATCGCTCATGAATAATAGTTTTAACGAATTAAACAAGACTGAAGATACCAATAATATTATAAGTGCTGATAGTATTTTAAGATTAGCTAAAGATAAATTTGTCGATTGTCGAAAAACTTTAACACAACACATCAAGAAAAAAGACATTGACTGTTTAACAGCTTTGGAAACGTGCTTTGATGAATTAGATAATATATTTAAAATTAAATTTGGTGAATCTGAGATAAGTGTTGTGAGCATGTCTGCAAAATCCGTTGTTCTACAACTTGAAAATCTTCTGAGAGAAAAATTGAAGGATTTAGAGGAAAAGAAAAATGTGCTAAGAGAAGCAGGTGAACTGGATCAAAATGCTAAAATGGAAATTTTCGCGGAAAAAATAGCTTTCGAAAATTTAGTAATTGGTAAATAATTTCATATAATAAAAATAATATATTTATTTTAATGTTTTCGGTTTTAGGTCGCATCGAAGAAGCTGTCAAGTTGCAACTAACATCAGACAACAGCTGCGAACGATTATTATCTAAAGAGACAGTGGAGACTGCAAATCTTTTGGCAAAATTAGAATTGAAATTGACTGAAGAATCCAGATTCGAGACACCTAATTGCCTCACGAGCATTGCTAGTTTAACCAAAGTTTTGACAAAACGCTTATTATATTGCGCAAATGGCCTTACGTATCCCAAGGCCGTGCCTATCCCAAGAAACTTGATACCTGCAATCAAATATTTAGAGGAAGAACAAAACAAAGTTGCCAATTTGTTATCAATTTACAAGACTAATAAACTACCAAAGCTCGCCGAAGCATTAGCCCTTGAATCTTTATCATTATCAAACGATGAAAGCTGCAGACTGAATATTGACGAGGCCACAATATGGAATGCCAGTAGGGAGATAATCAACTCCGAACTGATCACGTCGGAAATTAATCACGTATTGATGCGTACAGCTCAAAATTACGAGACGATTTCCAGTTCGGATCAGAATAACTTTTTCACTTTCTTCGCCTACGAACGGGCGATGCTAGAACTCTGGTCCGACGCCGTTGAGAATTCACTTAGGGTGGACATGGAAAGATACATCGAAGAATTAAATGTATTGTACGAATTGGCATTGGCCAAAATTCAGAGGCAAAATTGCAGACGAGGATCGGAGAGCGATAAAGCTATTTCGTCAGGGTCCTTGCTAAAAGAATTCGCGGATATAATTGCACACAAAGCACTAATTGATTCACGCATTTCTGTTTTGCGAGGTGAAACTGAGAATATGAGTAATCAGAGTGATGAAGGAAGCAATTTCGTGATTAATATATTTGATTTAGAGTCTTGCTGGGATTGCTTGGAGAACTTAGAATTAGTTGATGTCCGGGAAGATTTGCAAGCAGAATTTAAAAGTATGCTTGGAAATGTTAAACACAGCATACCGCACGATTTGTATCTAGGAGTAGAGCTGGTTCAACTGGCGAGCGCGATCAAAGATTTGGAGGCCGATATTGTCAGTCTTGGCAATGTGATAGGTGCAAATATCCAAACGAATGGCGCTTGCGAAGATTTCAAGGATATACTTGCAAGATGTGGACATCTGAGGCAGAACCTTAAGGATATTGAGCAAAACGTTTTGTTGATGAAAAATAACCCAAACAATAGGTAATCAAATATATTAAAATTTTACATTATTTTATCTTATTATTGAATTTTAAACAGATGCGAAGATGAAGAGAGGAAGCAGATTTATTTGGGTACGGAATACTTGAATCACGTCAGATCTTTAAGAGCTGCATACAGAGAAGCATTATCTAACTGTGAAAGTGAGAAACAACAGAGAGATTTGGAAACTCTGCAGCTCCTCTGCGAACGTGTTTTGGTAGCAATGGAACAATGGCATAGGAAAACTCTACAAGATTTGCGCGACTGTCATGGCAGGGAATTACAAGCTCTGAGACAGGAGAAAGAACAAGCACTGGCTGAAGAAACACAAGCAACTTTGGCAGCTCTAGACGCAATGAGAAAAGCTCATGAAGCTGAAGTAAGTGTTATAAAGCAAATATTAATGTCTTTTAATATTTGTTTCTGCTTGTAGGTTTTGAGGGAAGTCGCAAGGTTCAAGCAGAACTTCGCAAGAGAGCAACAAAGCGAGATGTTAGAGCTAAAGGAGCGCTTGAGTGTGAAGTGTTTAGAAGCGGCTGCTTTACATGAGCAATTAGGTAGTGCCACAAGGCAGTTATCTCACGCACAGCAACAAATTTTACAGCTTGAGCGCAGTCCATTTCAGGTAAACTAACTCATTTCACAACCCGTCCCCTGTGTGTATCGAAAAAAACATATTTTTTAATTTGTTTTAGAATTAATGGTAGATTAAGAAGCAGTCTACTACTAGTCCTTAAAATAGCCTCATATACGTAATTTTAATGTTATTTTGCTTGTATGTTATTATTCTCCCGAGGAAAATGTATAATTTCCATTTGGAATAATCTCATCTCTATATATATATATATAAAAAAAAGATTTATTTAATATAAACTTTAGGTTAATTAAAGACGACTCATATTTATTGTAAATATATAATATATTTTGTTTTGACCCTCTGTTGTTACCCATTTATATTTTTGGAAGTGTGCAACTTATATATTTGTTTTTCTTTTATCTATTCTCTGTTTTCCAGTTATGTACAAATTTGATTTTACATTTACATTATTAATATATGAAGATTATTTTGTAACAAGTTATTGTTTATACTATATATATTGTGTTGGGTTTATATGGAATGTTAATTAAAACATAAAAATGTGTTATATCAAATTAGATCAATAATGTCATTTATTTCTTTACAATAAGTAATGTTATTATTTTTTAACCATCCTCGAGATCAGTGCTTCCCAACCTTTTTATTGCCGGGAACCGGTCAACCTTTGATAATTTTACCGCGGCCCGCTGTGGTAGAGAAGGCGACGTTGATACAGTTTCACCAAAAAATGAATATAAAGTGATTTAACATTTGACAAACTAGATTCTAGCGAGTTAAAATAAAATGGAAATAATTTAATGTTCCTTGGGCGGCCCGGTACCATTGGATCCACTGACCGGTGCCGGTCCCCATTGCCCTAGATAACAGGTGTTAGCTCACCTTTTGACTAGTTTTTCGCAACTAGTTAACACTAAATGTACTTTTTCTATCGAGACATGCTAAAAAGTTTCTTCACAGTATAGTGGATTTCAGCTCTATCATTACCACATAAGTTTTATGATTATTATTAATATTAAATATTGTTATTGGCCACAATTATGATCAAAGGGCTATCAATCAAGGTATTTCCGCCATAATATGATTAATAATATACATGTTAACTAAGCTATACTTTACTGACATCCAAACCTACAGAAAATGATTATAAGAATATTTCTTTAAGCGAAAAGGAAACATTTTATAAAAAAAAGGCCTTTTTAAATCCAACATTTATTATTAACTGCGCTTTTTTGATCAAATAAACATTTTAAAATAATATAGATATATTGAATTAAAAATACATATAATTGTACTTTTTTTTTTTTAATTAATATACAACATATAGCAAATGATCATGTTTCCTTTTCAATATATATTTGTACTAATAAATGGTCACAGTCAACTGTATGAACAGGAATGATTTCTTTCAATTCAGTTCCAAACTTTGGTAGAGAGATCCATGGAAAGTCCTACATAAAAAGAACACTAATAAAAAAATCGTATTAACCTGCTTAAACTCACATCACAAAGAGGTTTATCATTATAGGCTATTGCTGAATATTCTGTGGTATGAATTTGTATGCTGAATTCCACATCGGCTGGTAATGGATTCAAGTATATATGAGATGTTCCTAATTTTAGACTGAATGCTCTAAAGTCTTGTTCCAATTTTACATATAATAAGTCACTTAATATTAAAAAATTAGTAATGACATAAATAGATATATTTTATAAGTACCTTTCAATTATACTTTTCAGTTTCACAATGTCGAAGACAAACTTTTCAAGTTGCTTACTTGCAGTTTTGATGCAAATAAATAATCTCTTCAATTGATTGGCGTTTGCATGGAAATGCACAGCCTTCATACATTCCGCTATATAATCATTGAGTAAGGGATGCTGCGACTTATGGATAACAACCCCATACTTCCTTTTTGGCACAAATATTGATTCAGGGTATATTTTCCTCACGTAAAGTATATTATGGACTGAAATTTCTAGAAATTCACACAGAATATCCACAACAACTAGAAGATAAATAATTCAATTCAGTAAAAACAATTTTTAATTTCATCCAATCAACTCACCAGAATTATAGCTCTTTGTAGCCATTTATTTTTAAGGTTAGTTTCTATCTTTGTTGTTACAGACAATTGCTATAAAAGGAACCAAAAACAACGATCTCAGATTTTAAAATTTTATTTTATTAAACTAGGTAATTAATTTATGTGTTAACTTCTTCCGTGAGCAGCTTTGATACCATGAGCAAGATCCTGCTTTTCCTTCTCAATTTCTTTTAAAGCTTGGACAGCTAACTCCAAAGCCCCTTTCTTATGACTATAATCTGCAATAAATTTCTCCACCAGCTCAATACCTTTACAACCAAATTCCACATTGTGTATTTTAGAATATAATTCAATCAATACTGTTGCCTCATTGATTCTTGATGTTTCAATCAATTCAAGTAATAGGTTATCAATGTTTTTAAACCAAGTTAAAAAGAAAACCATTGATCCAAAATGTCTAGTTGACCTCAAACAATCAAAACCATGATTTTCATTTAAATGCAAATATGTTGTGCTTGTGACCTTTTGATATTCTGGATCATCTGGCTCAAATTGTAAACTAGCTCTGTCCAAAACAAATTCATATTCCTTCTCATCTAAAACTTTCTTTAAGCGAGATTCCTCAAACATTTTTGGAATCCTAATTTCTCTGCCATGAATTGGAAAATAAACTTGATTCATTCTGTCTCTTAATGGTCCTTCTGCTTTCTTCAATGTACCATCGGTTTCTCTTACAACAATCAATCTATCTACATTACTTATTCCAAATGTAATATCAGTAAAAACAAATCTGGATGTTTCTAAGCCTTTCAAAGCAGGATCTTTATGGATTACTTCTCCATCATCTTTCCTAATTGCTACAGCTGGCGGTATTTGTAACATGGTTTCTGCCCTATTATTTGCATCATCCATTGCCTTTTGTAGTTGCTCGTCAGTCATAAATGTGTATTCTGGTAAATCCAATTTCTTGTACCCTAACTTTCTCTTGCGGAAGACTTTACTTAAATCTACTCTGGTCAGCTCTTTCAGTTTACTTTGAATATCATCTTTGAAGAATACTGACGTCGGGTCATTATCAGGGGCTAAAAATTGTTCAATTTATATAACATAACCTATAATTAAAATAGGACTTACTGTACTCGTAGGTTGATATTTTTTTGTGAAATAAAAAGCTTAAGTAATTAATATCCGGTTTTGCATTATTTATTAATAAATTTCTGCTAAAACACCGAAAAATTGCCATGGTTCAATATTTTGTTGATTATCAAACTTAAGAACACGTTAGTTTGACATTTATATTTCATCGGTATGTATACATGAATACATAATTGATTGTCTTGTTGCATATATAGATTGTCTCATTTCTTCAGATATTCAAATTTCATAGTGAAAGGTTTTTAAAATTCAGCTGTGCTATGGTCGCCTGTATCACGAAAATCTGATACGGAAGGTCGTTGGTTCGATTCCCAAAAACCAATAAAATTTGTAGAGGTACAAATAAGGCCAAAGATAGACCCGTGCCACCGGTCAAATAGTATCTAAATCACTCAGATTTGTATGATATTGGTCTATAAAACCGGTTTCTATTACCATTAATCCCATAGTTGTAAGTATTTTCCCTATTTCTATAATTCTTATAGCAATATGTTAATACCGAAATAACAGTTTCTTTTTACATCAAAACCGGTTTTCAATATCGGACAAAATTCCCTAGGGATCCCTGTTTTGTGTGCATAATATATTGTAATAATAATAATTGATATCGTGTGGCTATGGCTATGATCGCCTGTATCATGAAACTCTGATACGAAAGGTCGTTGGTTCGATTCCCAAAAAACCAACAAAAAATTTGTGGTGGCTGTTAAACCCAAAAGGGGTAGAAATGGGGCCGGAAGAGATTTATATCAATAAACAAATTGATACAAATCTCTATATAAAAAATCTACAATAATACAAAAATTATAAAATATATAACTTATAAATTAAAATACCTTTAAAGAAATATGAAATATAGAAATAAAAATACAAAATAAAACCTTTTTACAAGAATAATAATAAAAATAAAAACTGCTGCAATTTATATATATATTTGTTATACCACTTACCGAAGGACTTATCTATTTATTCTAATTAAAATATTGTAATATAATTTACTTATTTCGACCAACAAGACTTCGTACAATACATACTTTATTGTATAAATATTACGTGAAACTGGTCAAATATTGTTTCTAAGTAGTCATGTATAAATAACAATTTTTTATTTGAAATTTACCGAAATTTAATCACTTTAAATTGCATTAAAATTTATATATTAAAAAAAATAACGTCAATAATGTATATTTTATTTTAGAAGGTAAATTTTAATTGAGTTAACTATATTTCTTAAAATTTTCATTCAAAGATATTTACTGAGATTCTAATAATTTAGAACACCATCGAAACTGCTGTTGATCGGACAGTTTTGAAATAATAAAAGCACCAGTCGTAATTTATTTGAAAAAAATCAGATCAAACAGTTTATAGACTAAAAGACCTATTATGATAGTGAAAAAAATAATACTAAAACCATAAAAATGAAAACTACGTAATTAAGTTAAACGTTTATTTCAAATTTATTGCGTTAAGTTTTTATTGATAAGCTGATATATATATTTAAATATATAAATATATTTTTTTAAATATTTAGAAAAAGTATACAGAAAATATAAGTTGAAATTGAATTGTATTGATACAGAGCATTATTCCTTCAAGACAGATTTATTAACAACTCCAAAGAGTTTTGTATAAGTTTTGGATTTGCCTGTTAAAGCGATAAATTGCTCAGCAACTTCAACTGCCACCCGCACTTGTGCTTCGATTGTGCTTGCACCCAAATGGGGCGTAGCCACAACCTTATCATTGGCAATGAGTTTCAAAGTCGTCTCGTCTGTGGGTGGTTCTTGAAGAAATACGTCCAGTGCAGCTCCACCGCAAATACCAGCCTCCAAAGCTTCCAACAGATCAGCTTCGTTGATTATTCCGCCACGTGCCACATTAATAATACGAACGCCCTTTTTGCATGATGCAAGCGCAGTTTTGTTGATTAAATCTGAAAATTTGAGATTTGTTTGTTATTCAATCCGAATCAGTATATTTCGTCGTACTTCTTGTTTGCTCAATCAGTGGTGTGTGGACAGTAATATAATCGGCTAACGGCCAAATTTCTTCCAATTCCATTTTAGACACATTGAATTTGGCCGCATCATCTTTTGTTACGATGGGATCAAATCCAATGGTGTTCATGCCCCAGGCTTGCATCCTGATGGCTACTTCCTTACCGATTCTACCCAACCCGATGATGGCCAATGTTTTTCCGTGAAGCTCGTGACCGCTGAATAATTTTCTCTCCCATTTGCCAGCTTTTAAACTGGCTGCAGCGCTTACCACGTTCCTGGCCAAACATGTTATCAAAGAGCATGTTAATTCGCAAGCACTAATCGAATTTCCGCCAGGCGCGCTAAAAATTGTTATATATTGACTTATATATTGTTTATGGATCAACAAATGCGATTAAATTACTTGAGAACGATTATCCCCTTCTCAGTGGCTGCTGGTATATCAATATTATCGACGCCGACTCCTGCCCTGCCAATTACTCTCAATTTATTTGATGCTGCAATTATATCTCTGGTGACCTTAGTATCCGAACGCACAATTAACCCTTCGTAACCCTGAAACCAATAATGTTTTCTAGTATCTTATCAATTGAAATATGTATTCATTGACATAACTAATGCTTCTCTCTGTCGATTTTGCATGGCCTTTTTTAATAAAATAAATAAATTTTAAATGATCACTTACATCGATCTCCTTAATTAATTGATCGTTCGTCAATTTTAACTTACAGTCAACTTGAATGCCGTGATCTTTAAGCAGATTCACGCAAGCCAGGTCCACGGCGTCGGCGACGAGAACCTTTGTTACATCCATAATTGTTGGTATCTAAACGGCAAATGCACTAAATACACTGATTCAAGAACCTTGACTACAATCGACTGCAATGTACAGAATGGTATCCCCACCTTTTTGTCAGTCTTAATCGCTGGTCAAACGAGTATACGTCTGGAGATTTATCTCTGAACCCCGCGCTCTCTCGCTCCCTATAATATCTTTGCTACAGTACACATATTTCTTTGTCTGCTCGCGATAAGAAAATCAAAGAATATCATTTTATAAATAAACACAATTTATTTTACTCTACATGCTTTTTATATTATTATATTGATTTAGGACTTTTTTTTAGGATTTACTTTAGCATAATTAAAATTTTGTTTGTAATAATATTTTAACCATAGGAACATATTTTGTTGTATAAATATATTTATATATCAGATTAGAATGAAAGGCTCAGGTCAATAGCCCATCATTACATATGTATATGTCAATCGAACACTGTCTTAATGGTCTTAAATACTCTATATCAGAGATGGACAAGTCGGCAGCGATTTGTGTCGATCGCAAACAGTTGAAAAATAGATGTTTCGAATATGTCGCAAGTAAAACGAGTACAAAATATATTTTAATATATCACGATAATTTTTAAGTAGTGTAGACTTAATTGAGCAAGTCAGACAAAACTTAAAGTTCAATGAGTTGACCAATAGATAAAGCTATATATGTAATATATTGACAGATCCATTTATTTGTTAAGAAATAGAAATAACTTTATCAAATATTTCTTTAAGAATGATATGCTAAATTATTTAATCTCTGTATTATGTTTAGGCTTTTCTAAACGAGTGTATACAGAAAATATGTGCAATCATATATATTCTACGAATAATACGATAAGCATAGAGTCATTTCATACTAACCGAATGAGTCATAATTACCATGTTTTTAAGAGGCATAAGACAATAGACACTTAAACTAAATAGGTCCTACATGTATATTCAATAATATTGATTAATGTTTACAGGTTTCATTTTATTTTGATAAAAAAATGTTTGTATAATTGTTAATCACCATGTTGTGCACATATTCAATGGACCTAGTAACAAAGCTAAGCAACTGGAATCTAGACATAGAAGTTGTTAATAAACTTATAATATAGTGTTTATTATCGTAAAAACTTCAACTTCACCTCTAGTATTCCTTAAAAACTCCACAACAACATAACTACGAGCTATTCCACAGTGTCCAGAGATATTTGAATCCTGACATAATCTTAATAAGAAAATATATCGATAATTGAAAAATATTATGTTCTAATTTAATATTATAATTTAATATTGAATATTTATTAATTTATAAGTAAATTTCCTCAAAAAATGCTATTTTACAAATGCAATGGAACCTTGCTTGGAACGAGCAAATATTCTAACAAAAATGGCTTTCGTAACGAGTTACGAGGAGAAGAGATGTCACGCATTGTACGCCTGCTACATAATTTTCCTAACTTGTGTTCAGATATATTATGTATGTAATTTTTTTGTTCAAAGGTTAACAACGCTTGCAAAAATGCCCGTAAAGCCGCAAGAAGACATACATAAGAGAAAAAAATAAAAATAATTAGATATGTATCGTTCCACTGCAATTTATAACTGGTAATATTAATGTGATGTTTCATTTATTCATATAATATCTCAGGATATTCTTCTTCATTATTCACTATTTCCTCAATCATTCGTCAATTTTCTTACAAAAAGTCTAAATTATAGTGTCCAAATTTAAATTTACTGAAATGTCTAAGTTCAAATCAGCTAGGATCCCTAAATTCAAATTTACCTGAGTCCAGTGATACGATTTAAATGACTACAAATATGTACATCAGTTCAGAGAAAGTTAAGTACAATTGCCCAAATACATTATTTGGGATAGTCCTATCTTCCCTTACCAAATATTGAACTAACATCGTTAATTCCCCAGTATAATAAGATGTTTATGTAATGCAAAGTTAGTATTAGAAGGACGACCATTGCTATGTGTCAGTAACTGGAAGCTAGTTTCAGGACTCATATTTAAAGTGATGAAATATATTTATGCTCATTGATTTTTATCTAGCCTTTTACTAAAACCTGTAACACACCGTGTGAGATTGTGCACTAATACAGTAACAAAAAATCTTGTACTTCCGGCTGAGCGTGAGTCCCGTCCCTGACGTGAGAAGCGAGAAGGTTCTGGACACCACTTCCTTTTGTGTAGAGGAAGAATTCATTAACTTTCCTCCTCCTCTCCTTCCTGATGGCCAAATCTCGTCTATCCTGGAGCACACAAAATATTTTCACCCAATTAGATTTAATCCGATACATTTGAATACCACGTTTTATTTTAAATATTCTCTTCTTCAATTGAATAGATATTTTTTCTATTGGTGAATTTTCCACTTCTCTTTCGGATAGGGTTATCAGATTTCTTAGTCATCAAATAAAGACAATGATATTTTATTAAGAATAAAAACAAAATCATATCACGCAAATCCGATACGACAGGTCGTTGGATAAATTGACATAAATCTCAAAACAAAACAATCTCAGAAATAAATAAATTTAGCTGAATTTTGCAATACAGTTTATTTTAATGTTATGTTGGCTACTCTGTTAAATTAATTGCCAACTATTCAATATGAAACTATTGTAATAGATTTATTTTGTCCTTATACACATATTTCCTAGCACGCAGCTAAATGGAAGGGGCTCTTCCTAGAGGGAAGTAGCAGGCGGAAGAAAAATATATTTCCAATTAAAGTAACAATTTTTGTTCGATAAGTAAATTGAAAATTGAATCTTCTGCCACCTTAGCTGACAGATACAAACCACATCACATATTTTCTTTTGTTTGTTTTTTGTTTTTTTTTTTTTTTTCAAATGTAGTACAACTTCGCATTGCACTTATTTTGATCTATATGATAGGAATTAAGCGTAGTTTGGCGTACTTCTCCATGGTTACAAACATTAGTGTTCGCAGATAACAGCTTCGTATATCCAGATCCAGTTATCAGACTTAAAATGACTTCGAGTTTAACAATTGCGACGAACGTTGTGAGTAAATATAAATTCGTTTGATTCATGCATTTTAAGTTGTTTCCTTAGACCGTGAACGATGTCGAATTATCAACGACATCCTACATGAATTCCATTAATTTTGTAAAAAATATGATGCACACTGCCATTGTCAACATTATATACAATCGAATCGAAGACGACGACGCAATATTTAACTCATATAACATGAACAATGTGAAATATAAGGGATTATCAAATAGAATTCCAAAAACGCACCAACTGCAGCGCGTTAATTGTTGGATGAAAGATGCGTATCTTGCTTTGGAGCGCAAAAAGGTACGTAATATAATTCATAAATGGAGATTCATTACGAGTTAGTTTAAATCTGGTAATTATTTATATTTAACGCTGCTAAAAATAATTCCCGCAAAAATGTTGACAACTTACGAAAGTTAAGCAACGTGTAAATATTTTGTTTTAGGTACCCTTTGCCAATACGCATAAATAGATTACAATTAGTAGGGCACATGAAAATAACATGCATATAATGTGTTAGTTTGTTGTGAAACATCTTATTTGAATGAATGAATGACAAATAGTAAAGCAAAATTATAAATTTACCATCATGTTATTCAAAATTGATTAATTCTCAACTCATATTTTTTATAAATTATCTTCCTTTTACTAATTAAAATGTCATCAGAGTTGACGATGCTTAAACTTTGTAAATTGGCACCAATCAACGTTTATCAAATAATATTTAATTAATTAAATTATATTTCAGTTAAATAAATTGTATTTGGTTATTATGGAAAACAATAGCGCAAGCGAGTATTATGAGTTCACCATAAAATATTTGGATAAACCAAAAACGTAAATATATTTATTAATATTTCTTTTTGTTTAAAATAAAATAATTTGATTTTATTTGAAGCTCCATCAATACTAAGCAAGTTTTTCAAGTTACTGAGGATTTCCTAAAAACGATTAACCTTCTTGGAACCAACACAAAGTTTCCCTTAAATACTGAGTGCAAAATCCAAATGACTCTAAATGGTGGAAAATATATGGTGTTGAATGTATTATAAATGATAATTTCGTAATATTTTAGATGGATTAGATCTAAAATACTTCCATAATGGTGTTTTAATACAGAATCATAATCATATTGTAGGAATGGGCAGTATAGATACAGGACACAATAAATTAAGACTATGCGCAAAGGGCCAAATCTTTGATGAAAGCTTCGATCAAAGTTCTGTTAATGTGATTGATGATGTTGAAGTTAGCCCCTCATTTGAAGAAACACTAGTTTGTGTTTGCAGTATCAACGAAAACTTTTCAGGAATTCCGATCATCAGATGTGGGATGTGTAAAACTTATCAACATGTCCCTTGTATTGGATATACAATTGCTAAGCCTCCTCTAAATAATTATACTTGTTGGTATTGCTGTAAAAAGAATGAGCTTGTATCACATGATAAACGAATGTTTCTGCATGCTAATAATGAAAGGACATTAATGCGTTCAACTATTTTGAGGTAAGTGGATTTCTAAAGAAATTAGTACTAATGTTGTTCATATTATTATTTATAGATTTATTACATATGCAATATTACATACAAATATAACACCACAACAAATTATTGATAAAATGTCACCAGTATATGTGAAGGCGATTATCGACTTTCTAATAAAAATTGATTTTTTTCATTTGAAAGACAACACGTGAGTATATCTTTTCATATATAAATATCAAAAATAATATATATTTTCTTAATTTAGTTACATGCCTATCATTCACACTATAAATAGATTCGCGAATGGGGTATTCTTTTATAAAATTTCCTCGGACAGTTGCCACCTTTCAGAAACAGAAGTAGTAGAAATAGAAGATAAATAGAAGTTTAATATAAATTTAATTAGGTATAATTAAAAACAAAGTATTCAGTTCTTGTTGAGTTAATGTTTATTTAAAAGTTACATTACAGTGTTTAAAAATAATTTTGATAACTTTTTGTTTTTTTCATATATACTTTGGAAAAATAATATTACAGCCATAAATGGTAGACTAGATCCAATTGAATAAATAATATTAAGCTTGTTGCTTAAGTTATAATCACAAAACGAAAAATTACACACGAATTTTTAAAATTATTCAAAAGCTTTGATGCTTATATGCTGCCAATTTCCCTATAAATATAATTTACGTGTAATTCATTACTCATATAGATACCTTTTTAAAAAACTCACCGGTATTCCCAAATCCCATCCGGTTCCAGTTGGATTTTCTTGGCAAATACCTTGTCGTCTCAGCATTAGGCCTCCATTTGTAACAGCCCATACTTCTTTATACCCAGCTGCTAAATGTTTAAAGCCAGTAGCGTGTAAACCTCCAGTTAAAGCTGCTGGATCGATGTTAACGCTACGCCATTTCTCAGATTTAATATTTTCAACTCGTACATATATATTCCCATGGATATCGAGTGCCCAAATGCCTGCAGCACCAACCGAAATGTGCTTCAACTGAGCACCTTGCGGGGGTTCAATGCAAAGCCAACTTTGACCTTCAAGATTATCTTCTCGAATTCCTAAACGCTTGTAAGCACATCCATTTCTGCCAGTAGCCCAAACCTGCTTGAAAGAACCGCAACATATACTGCTGTAAGCTTGATCGGAAGCCACATGTTCCCATTTGACACCAGCCGGAGTACTCGTGGATACTCCAGTACGAATCATAGCTTGTCCACCAGTCGCTAAACCCCATACAGATATACTAACATCGTTTACAGAAGCTAAGGACACGTCAATAACTTTGGTATGACCCAATTCTTGCCAAGGGCCTGTTGTAGCCACAGCACACCTCCTGTACCATCGTCGTCGCCTTACACAATCAGTAAATTGTTTATTTGCGTGGTATGTTGAAGGGAAGTCAACAGCATACTGCCACCCATCTCTATCCACGCCCCCGGGGACATGGAAATCTACTAGCCAATCAGAAACCCATTGCCATCGCATTGACAGCAGTTTCACTTGATCTCTAGTACGTTTTTGCTTACCAGTGGCATCGCTCCACATATACCTATCAGTTGGTAAACCAGCTGAAGTATATCCAGTGACAGGATTCCATCTCTGATTCTCATATACTCTATAATCTTGAGAATCTGCCATCGGATTAACATTATTACTATCAAGCCCAACAAAACATGCGCCACCCCAGCCGCAGTTATACACCCATGCAGTGTGATCGTAACCGATGCCCCAGGTGACACCAAGCTTACAAGTTTCAACCCTCCTCAAATGGCCACCGAATGGACGCCAGTATAATTCAAGTGGATTTAAGATTAAAGAGGGCGTATTCATTTTTAACTTGAATAATTTTAAGCCACCTCGTACACTCAACATTGTAGCAGCAGCGGGCGGCAATCGGTGCCTGTATGTACAATATTGCTCGTCATCTATATAAATAATGAAATCATCTTCTTTACAGAGTATCTTCAGACTGAACTCTTGTCCCCTTCTGAACATATTATTTCCGTTTCTCTCTTCTTCGCCCCATTTTCCTTCAATCATACTGTTCCTAACGATCAAATTATCATTGAATCTAGGATTTATATGCAACACACAATTCTCATATTCAGCGTGAGCCTTGTGTTTCAACTTGTAAGTATTATGTGCGTCTAAATTAATTGCAAACCTATCAACATCGTCAGAAACGCAGCCGTTTATTGTAATTATAGTTCCTGGGACACAACTTGCATGTAGATGCATGGTGAATGGAACTTCCTTTCCAGCTAAATCGATAATTTGCTCGTAATTATTGTCATCAATTTTGTTTGCCTTTTGTTGCAAACCGTCCCATACGTATACCTCCCCTAATTTAGTGACCGCCCACACGCTACTATCATTGGCTTTGCCATTGCAATTGTGTATTTGCATTGAAATAGTTGAAAGATGGCGCTGCCATTCTTCCAACATTGTATCGCTGGAAAATTGCAAACGTATGACAGGCGGAGTTATGTTTGGAGTATGGATCGACAAACGAGGACTACCAGGATCACTGCAACATTGCACGCACGTCACTTCGTTCATACTAAATTGATGCTAAAAAATCCAATTAATAAATGTTGCTTATTTCAGATTAAATAAAATTACCATAGTTGAAGCACCATCAGGATGCAAGACAGTTAAGGTACCTGCAGTATGCACCCATTCAAGCTGCAGGACACAGTCAATAAAAACATTGGTGGAATCCATGCAAATTCTACCTTCGCCTGAATGTACCCAAGACGATGTATCTATAGCAACCTGATAATCCGAATATTTATTGTCATTTGATAAACGTGATTTAAGGTCTTCGAGAATCTTCAACCTCCAAGGTTGATCCAACTCAGTCTGTTGAAGCGTAGGTACTTCAGCAAACCAATTTGGTAATTGGTTTGGGTCTATTGTGCATGGACCAGCCTCTACCCATGACCAAGGGGCCTCGTATTCAGCCCATCCTAATTCTTCATCTTCGGCAAAAATACATGAATCTTGTCGTTCGGAATTGTAAACACTCTCGTCTGATATAACTTCAGTTCCTACTACAGATCCAACGGATCTGACAGGGCTCCAAGCCTTAGGATTTTTCAGTTGAGTTTCAAAATGTTTGCCAGCTAATTCTCCAACTGGTAAGGACGTCGGTGCACTTGGAGCGGAATGACTTTGCTCTTCCCAATCGCCAATACCAGATGATTCACACAAACTGTGTGGTCGATTCTTCAACAGTTCAATTAATGTAAAAAGATTTGTGATATTTAATTATATATATGTTACCAAAGATGAATTGCTTTGATTTTGGAAACGATCCCTACTAAGACTTGCATTACTACTAGCCCTGCTCACTTGTAAAGGAGCATGTAATGACCTCCACCTCTTTCCTGTTTGGTCACCAAAAGATACACCCATCCTATAGTAAACAGCCCTATCATCTGCGCCAATTGCAAATACTTGGTCGTTGGCCGTAACTGAAACTAAAGACATTCGTCCTACCTGAAAACATACGGTTATTATAGATATACTAGCAAATTAATAATAGATTTACCATCTCAACCCATCCACATCCAGCTGCTAACTCTTCACTAGTTCCTGATCCTTCACCTTTTATTCCTTTTCTAAACCATACTTGCTTATTCTGAGTCACTGCCCAGACACTAGACATACCTATGCTTATTTGCATAATTCTTAAATTTGGACCAGGACCACGAACTTCAACCCAGGAATCACCAGAAAAATTATCGCGTGTTACTCCTATTTAACACATATATATACAAATAATATGACACTAACATTTTGTACAATATTTACCAATTCGAACAAGTGCTCTACCATCCAACAATGAAGCCCAAACTAAACCACTAGATCCAATAGATAATTGATTAATTTCACAGCCCACAGGTACTGAAACCAATGTCCATTTTGCACCTTCTGGAGATCTAGTTGAAACTCCAGTCCTAAACATCACCTACAACAAAATTGAGATATGCCTATTTTATAATTAATTTAATTTATATACCCGATTATGTGAAGTAACTGCCCATACTAGCATTATTCCTGGCTCAGCACCTGTTATACTTTGTCCACCTATACATATGTCAATGAATGGTTCCTACAGTATTAAAAGATGATAAGTATTAAGTGTTATGTTTTAATTAACTTAACTTACAGCAGTTGCATCTTTATGCAATGGTGCAATTGCACACCAAGAATTCATGGCACTGTACCTTCTTGACCTGACCCATAATCTACGTCTGACACAACTCTTCCATTGTTTCTTAGGATAATACTGAGCAGGAAAGTCTACAGCATAAGTCCAACCATCATGATCTAATGGCTGTCCATTAAGGGTTAAATCTAATTGCCAATCCCCTTCCCATTGCCAAGCCATTGAAGGCAATCTTATATTCTGAATCGTTCTATCAACAGTTCCATCTGCTGAACTGAACTTAAATCTATCAGTTGGCAATAATCGTGTAGAGAAACCCTCAATAGGTATCCACCTCTAATAGTTAAATGTTATTATAGAGATTTATAACACTAATACAAAATTTACCTCATTTTCATAGCACTCCTCTCTCACTCTTATTGGAATATCCAATCCATGTACATATACATATACCTGATGGTCTCCACCTAAAGCCCATAAGAAATGTGGAATACCTGACAACTTTTTAAATTCTTGCCCAACATATGGTAATTCCCTCCACATGCCACCAGTTGTGGAGAGAGTATAAACTCTTCCCTCATTGTTAATACCAAACAACAATGAACTTGGCATTGTTAAATATTAATTATATGAATTTAATATATTCAATATACATAGCACAGGAAACTCTAAAATTAACCTTAATTTTAATCACTAAACAAACATATCAAATAACTTTTATTCCGCCCAACTTCGCTATATCGCTGTGTTTAATTTCAGTTACAGTTTGCCAAGTTTTGCAGTCAACTTATCACACCGTTTACTTGCTTTAGTCTATATCCAAATGTCACTTTTCCGTATATTTAATTCAAAGTTACTTATACAACCAAATTCACAAATATATTTATTAAAAATTAAATTCTCTCATAATCATCGTTATATTCAGACAAAGCTATGTATACTTTCAGATCCACCATTTCTTCGAGGTGTTGCACAAAATCTATCATTTCTTCACAATCGTGGATAATTAACTTCTCCAGCTGTTTCCTCACTGTAAAACTAGGTTTTAGATTTTTACAAAATGAGACATCCAAGATTATCAGTCGCATGCAACTGTAACAAATTGGTTCAACGCTGCATACAGTACGACAAGATTTTAATTTAATATTTTCTAAATTAGGACAATGTTTGGCAATTGCTTCTATTCCAATATCTGATAACTAAAGAATATTCAATTATTATTGAATGATTTAACAATACACTTGTATTTTACCAAAATACAAGATGTGAAGTCAAGAACTGTAATATTATTAAAGATTGTTTCATTTTCTTTAACCAAAGAGCAGACATTGTTTCCAGTTACAATAAAATTTTGGCAAAATCCAAATTCGCAAATATTTGGAAGATTTTTTAAGAAATCTTTAACCATTTCATATGTCAGATTTAAACTATAATGTAAAAAGAGTTTCGAGAGGTTTGGGCATTCTGTTAATTTCTAAAATGCAATAAAAAAAATGAAAGTTTTTTATAATAATTCTCATACCAGAAATTACTTCATATGTTCTATTAGTCAATGATCTAGAATCAATACTGAGAGACTTTAATTTTGCAGCTGTATTCGCTATAATCAAACAAGCATCATCATCTCTCAGATCAACATTCGGAGGAAGCAAAGATATTTTTATTTCCTCAAGCTGCCTACAATTTAGAATCGTTTCTAAAATAATCCGCATGTTTATGTTACTTATGTTAGTCAAATTGATACTCCTGTAAATATGAATGAAAAATATATAATTAACATATTATTCGTGTTATCATACTTAAGATTGGTCAATTCTGCAATTAATGTATATTTGGGTATTGCTAAGATCGTATTTTCCAAGTTAACCATTTCCAATTTTGGAAACATATCTCTTACGTAATTGAAAATTCTCAATTCTAAATATTCGTAGTTTATCATTGATATTCTTTTGAGATCCTTCGAGAATTTGCTTGCTTGTAATAAGATTGCTAAAGGATTTGATACCTTATCTAAATGCAGAGCCTGTAATTGCTTAAATCTTCGTAAATGGTCATAAATATAAGATAACGAAATTGCATTTCCTTTGATACGAAGCGTCTTCATGAACTCAGGTTGTCTGACAGCATGCCTCCAATGTCTACATACCTAGAAAAATCTGTCTGAGAAATATGTGGTAGAATAATATTTGTCATATTTACTAAAGACATAGTTTTCAATAGTGAATGATTATCAATATACTTGAAGATATTTATGAGTATTTTAATTGGTAAAGTTCCAAAACCTTTAGGCTTGACTTTTGTGTAGCTCATATTATAGCGCTTCTTTTCAGTGCTGTACTTCTTGAAAAGTATTCCAATCTGCATATCCATTTTAATATAATCACAATCTTGTAATTTTCAAAGTCACTAATTTATGAATATATGTTTATTATTTCCATAGATACATACATTTTTTTGTTAATTTTTAACATTTATTATCATTAAAACAACCATAAAATTAAACGTGTGGGTGGAAAATTACTATAGAATTTACATTTAAATACTCCTAAAGATTTTTACTTAATAATTTGATTGGACCTATTAGTTTGGGAATATATGTAGAGTGACAATAATAGTCATAAACCGATGTCCCTTGGCGCAAGACTAAATATTTACATGTGAACAAATAAACACCTCGTTATCGTTATCCGACATATATTTCTTTCCTTTGTTTTTATTTTCAAAATATATTATAGTCATTTAAAACGTTTGTTATTAAGGAATGTTATTGTTAAAGGATCAGTGTTAATTGCAAGGAATAAGCATTTTTAATTGAAAAAAAAACATAAACAAACAACTTTCGATTCATATTATAAATCAGTGATTCTGAAAGTGGGGGTCGCAGAAAAAATTATGAAATTAATTCTACATATACCCATACTTCGGGGGGTCCTTTAAATTAAGTACAAAAGGGGATCGCGGACCAAAAAGTGAAACACTGTTCTAAATTATATATAGAGTAACAGTAACATTTCTAGAATCTTTTTTTTTGTGCAACATACATACATTTCATCAATAATTAGGTTTAATAGTAATTTTTTTGCAAACGTACAAATAGTATCATGAGAAATATTAACATCAACATCATTTAATATCATTTCATCATTTTGTTGACACATTTTCTTGACACAAACTATGAAAAGTAACACGTTATATAGCGTCCCAAGATTATTAGAAGTGAATTTGGCATGAATTTAAATTTTAGCGGTGAAATTGTCAATCCGAAGTGTAGTTTAATCCTGGACAGTCGCTTTGTTTCGTGTTAGTCCGATTTTCCCACTCACGCTCGTTTGATCTCGTAGGTAGCAGCTGTGGGAACGACACAGTTGCACCATCACAAGATTGTATTTATTTTCATCACATATACACATACATCACCAAAGGTATTCCGAAGGCCGAAAGCCCTTTTCGAGCAGTCAAAAAAGCCAATACTGTTCATCTCTGTTGACACCAATTTAGTTGTCTCCCCATTGCGAAAACGACTGCCCGAAATTCTTTTGCTGCCAGCCCATGAGTCATCTATGTGAAACGCAAAATAAATCAAGTGTTGTTTCTTTTTTAGGACCAACGTAGTCTTTGTCCTTCTCCACAAAAGACATGTCGCTGGGAATATCCGCGAGGCTCAGCAAGTACCCCAAAAAACACGATCTAGTCAAATCACATAGCCAGTCGCAAATTTTGGCCAACAAATTGAGACAGGATGGGGTTATGTCCACAGGTACGAAAATATCGGATTTATTTATAATTAAATCACCACAAAGAGAAATCAATTGTATCCATCATGTGCAATTGAACCAGAGCAAGCAATTTTCACTAAATCTACTAAAAAAAGTTTGTTACGAAATTTGTTAATTTAATTTAGCTTTCTCTTTTATATATATATATATTCACACATTATCTATATATATGTTCAAATATAGTGGTGAGTGATCAAGTATTTTATGATGTGAATATTAATATGTATTTTGCATTTTAAATCTACTCTTATCTAATCAAATATTAAAATGGAAGTTATTTTTGTATTCATTCTGATAAAAATGTTTTTACTTAACACAAAAAATCTAATTGGATCCTATTATGTGGCTTACTCAAAAGTCAAAATAAAAAAATATGTATAGGTTATGTTTATGAAAACATAATCAAATATCAGATTAAATATTATAAATAGAAGAAATTAATGCTCTTGTTAAAATTGTTCTTAATTTATTTCAGTTGAAAATGTCATGCAGGCTGTTGATCATGTTGCTGCTGTTTTGGCATCACCAAGCATTGATCCATCAATATCCTATAAAGACAGCATTATCAATTTGTGTCAACATTTAAAGGTAATCATATAAATTTTATCATTTGTCTTGATTGTGCTTGTGCCTTTAAAGTGATTATGTTAAGGTTGGTTACTGGACCAATCACTTGACTTTTTTATATTTTTGTTTTTGTTTTAATTGTCACCAGTCCAGTTCATTGTCTCATGTGAGATAGATGGCCAGTAAATAAATAAAAAAGAAAAAAATATTTAATATTAAAAAATTGAATATGTGGTGAGACACAAGATATTCATTTATGTACTAAATTCTATACAATATTTGCTATTTACAATGCCATTTGAATGTTCTACATGTTTAATACTTTAATTTTGTAAGTTATCATTTTTACAATATATCTATTGTCACTTTCTTGTATTATTCTTTGATAAATAGTTTTACCAGATATCGATGATGTTATTTTATCAAAATAATTGCATCAAATAAGACTTAACTTTTGCAAATAATATTCTAAATAGGTTAAAAACCTTCTTTTTTATTACATTAAATGTAACTATGTTGATTGGGTGGTAAGACTGTACTTAATTGCATTTTCTATCTATATTAATATTTTTTTTTAATTATTCTATATATTTTACTTCAGTTAATATATTTTTTTTAAATTTAGGTTTATGGCGCATACCTTGACATTCTGTTTCAAGACCAACTGAATCGAGCCTTCGTGGTGTTCCGAAACAGCTCCCAAGATGATGTTCGACTCGATTATTTATCACGACTGCACCTACTCGAATTAATCGAACTACGAGCTAAAGATTGGAAGGGCTCCGACCACATGAACCAGTATTACCGGAAGAAGGTAATGGTACTATTGATTTAAGAAAAATGCGAGAACAAATAGCCTTGAGTGATAAGATAACATTTAGGTCGAAGCTACCGAGAGCATACAATCGCTGACGGAATCGCTGCTGGCAGCGTCCACTCCACCGTTATTGGCTCCTGGGGAAGTAATAAAAGCTTCTGGGAAGTTCAAGCAGCCGACTAAGATACCGGGGAAGAATTACTGTAAGGACGAGGTGGTAATAAGAAACGCCGATTCCGGAAAAGGTTTGTCCTAAGCAACGCAGACTTTATTTAACTCGAATTAAAAAAAAATGAGATACATCTTAAAGGCGATATACATTTATTGAATTAGGTTAAAGATTGAGGTGTTTTTATAGTTATGGGTATCAAAGGACGCAGGGTGCATATGATCGAAGAACTTAGCGAAACGATTATTTCGTTTCAGAAAGGTAAAATGGATAAATTCATCCAACAAATCAACCCCCTTTGAAATGCTCTCACAATGAATTAATTAATTAGCCTTTAATTGCTGCAATTTTTTTGTTTATTTTTCCTTATCTAAAACTTAAAATGATACGAAACACTCTGCACTAAAGATTTGTATTTCAATGTTTATTTTTTAACAAATTTTTGTTGACATTTTTTTAAATGTATTTTTTTCTGGGTATTTTAATTTTTGCTTGCCGCAAATGCTACTACTTCGATTTTATGCACATTATATTTGTTTTATCAATAATATTTTGTAAGAATCATAAGCACAATGATATTAATAATACTGACTTGCTTTTCATTAAACTTAACTACATAGTAATAATTTTGCACAGCTTTCTTTCAAACCACAACTGTTAATTATATTTCATTAATGATCGACGTAAAATGTATTGCTTTCCAAAATCCCTTTAATTTATATTTATGTTGGCGAGTATTTAGTATTTCTTGTATTTATAATTATAGCATGTATTTTTTTTATTGCATTTTGAAATTTTCTATAATGCTATACGCTACTGAAATTAATGAATTTGTTGTTTCTTGTTTTAAAGGAGATGTTAATGTAAATTTATTTGTTGTAGTCAATCCGGGGGCTAAAGAACGTTTAGTCCAAATAACGGGTGCCACTGAAGAAAGCATTGTGTAAGTACTTTTTCTTATCTAACCGTTACCACAGATCACAAAAATATCTTCATTTATTTTTTAGTCACGCGAAGCAGTTGATTGAGGACACCATTAGACGAAATGCATCTCCGGTCAGAGAACACGGAGTTGCAATTGGTGGCCCACTAACTGGATCAAGTTCAAGCATTAATTCATCTGCTTCCGATGAAAGTGCTTTACCGCATGGCACAAGCGGAAGTTCTCATGTCTCCCGGGCTCTTCTTCATAGTTTGAGCACCAACGACGCCAGCTTGGGCGAATACAAGTACACCGTCGTTACTGGTGGACACACCATTAAAATTACCGGTGACAACTTGGATTTGGTTCGTGTGAGTATAAAAAAAACTATTTGTCACATACATGAGTAATATGATTGATGAGCCAGTGCCGCCTTAAGATATTTTGTGCCCATGGGCTGCTAAGTATAATGCGCCCCTCTTCAGAAGAAAATGCACGGGAGAAGAAAAAAAAATTGCCTCCTCGGGGCTGTAGCCCATTTAGCCTTGTTCGATTGACAATCACGGATTGTCCAAATCAATTGCATATAAGTATATACAGTTTCATGTATCTTAATTTTCAATAGTATGTTATTATGAAATAGTATGTTAATTAGAAAGTACAATTGAGAAAATATACGATTAAAATGTATTTTTTATGAAAAGGATTCAAAGTTATTTTTATTATTATTTTCATATTATTTATCTTTGCAGACTAGTAAACTCGTACTCGACGAGTATTTCTCTGGCGAACCGATCCACGACATCGGGCAATTTTACAGCTTCGACAGTTTGCCTCAACCAATTATAACGAACGATCTGCCACCAATTCCACTAACCACAGAATCCCTACCACCACCGACCGTAACTGCATTATCCAATGGACAAACGGAAACCGATGGTTCTCAAGGTATTGTATTAGTGATACTTTGGATGGCGAGTAACTTGATTTGCGAAAATTTGTAAAACGAGCAAACTTATATCATACATTTTCTCTTGATAAACGAGCAAGGTTTTGTAATACAAGTATTATACATATGCTATACTTATTCAAGAATTTTGGAAAACTCATATCTACATTGTAAACTGCCTCAAAATCATGAAATTCGCTTTAAGATCCTTTTCCAGAACAAATTATGCTCAAATGGCAAAGCCATATTTTTAGTATTTTATATATAATTTTATTTTAGTTGCTCCACTGAGAAGACCCCATATACCTATTGAGGACATAATGTTGGGTAAGTCAGAGGCATCTGTGCACCAATACACACTCGAATATTTGGCCTGCTTGGCTCGATCTCCTATGTGCCGAACACCACCAGAAGATTGGGAAAAGATGCAAACCGAGTATCCGAATCTGGTTCGCAAAGTGAGTGTCATTGAGACCCATATTGGTGTCTTGCAATAACATTATTTTTCATTTGATTCCAGACACCGGAATTGTTTGACGTCAAGGGTTACTTAGCTTATCGTTGTGGCGACAAGATGGCTAGTGTTCTAAGTGCCGATGAAGTAGACGTTTCTGAGGTCTGAATATAATTCAATGAAAGAAATAATAAAAACATATTACGTAAGAGGGGAAGTGATTTAAAAAAGGTAATATTGTTGCTTAAAATTTGAGTGTTTTCTTTAAGCAGAGCGTTCAAGTGAATGCTTGCAATTGATTTTAATTAAATCTGAATTCTGGCTTGAGTAAGATCGAGTGTAATATATTCATTTAAAATGTTTGTTTTTAGAATGCATTCAAAGGTTAAGTTTGTGCTGCCTAGTTTACTCACTTAACATATTTACTTTTTTTCATTTCTATAGTTATTTTTCTCATGAAGGATTTTCCTTGTCTGTAGATACAAAAAGTCATTTTTCTAAATCAATATATTTTGGTATGATAATATTTTTTATAAAAACATAGTAGTAATATTATTATTTAAAAATATTGATATTTCAATTTGTTAATTGTTGGTAATTATTTTTTTAAATTTTGTTTATAAATATTTATATACAAATATGTATCCCAGTATTTCCAACTTTAAAGTTCATATCACTAAGATGGAATTACGGACTTATATCTATCAAAAAAGAATATACTTTATTATTCTTGTTTTCACAAGTGCGATTAAAATGTTTATTAATTTGCTTCGTAAACCAATTTAATTATATATAAATATTTAGATAAGAGGAAGTACAGGATCTAGTGAATATGTTTCTTTAAATTTATTATTTTCTTTTTATTTTTCTTCACATTTGACTTTTGTTACAACTACTGACTGATACTAATTTATTTGCTATTTATTTGTTGTTTTTATTTTTATTGACAGAAGATATGGATTTTTTAAATTATCTTCGATGTTATTTTTATTTTTGTTTTTATAGATATCTTAATTTTCGTTCTGGTCAAGAAGTTGTTACTTGTTTGCTAATACTTTTATGATATTTATATTTTTTTGTTATAATAATACTTTTTTGTGTAAGTTCATGTTTGCAAATACATTTTTGAAAGACAAAACTCGATTATTTAATATATATATATTTCTGAAATTCGAAAAGAAAATGGATTATCTCAAATATTAAATTTTCCCTTGTTATGTTCCAGATATAATTATTAATTTTATGTGTATAAATTATCTAAGTTTTATTTAGAGTGGCGGCCCACTTGGAAAAATCATAGATTAAGAGAAACAAGACTTCGATTCAGAAAAGGTAGTTATAATTATTAAGATAAAAAACTACTGATTTTTATCAAACTATCGAGACGTTGTAAAGGCAATGCGGTAATCACAAAGTAACAGTTCTTGAAATACATATTTATTATAATTTTAGTTTTCGTGCCCATGTTATACCGGAAAACCGTTAGTATTTAATGTTTTCTAAATTACTTCATTTCATATATTTGTGTATCATAGTAAGATTTTGGTTGATACCAAAACTTCTCACACAAGGTGCTTTTCAAATGAAAAACTAATATGTATTTAACTTTTCTGCTCTTACTATATATATTTTTTTTAATGCAATCAAGAAATGACTTAGACAATACATACGTCTATGTATTTCTCGAATATTTTTCATGTATTTCTTATTTATCACTTTAAATAAATCGATTACACTTCATTTTGTCATAAACTTAACATATGATTTGTGCAAAATTTCTTTCTATATACACAAAACAGATTAAGTTCTCTAATCTTACTAAAATTCATTATGATAAATCACCACTAACATCTATTAAAGAGAAGTGTAAATGTGATATAAATTTAAGAATGTAATAATCATTTTTATTTTTTTAAATGTATTGTCATCACAGTTTAGCTTGTAAATTATTAAAATCGTATAATCATAAAAAGTTTAGGACATTTTCATTATCATCAGAAGCGCTTGCGTTGCAGTTATCATATCTAATATGAAAATTCACAATATATTCGGCATTAGTTCTCTGCACGGATATAGCAAAAGGGTCGGTTGGATGAAATGTGAAGGCAACAAGCCTTCTCGCAGCAGGGATTGCGCGCGTTGTATTTCCAGCAAATATTCTGAATTTGAGAAAACCTGAATCTCGTGCATAAAACCTGAAACAGAATCAATAATTGAAAGATATCAAATAAACTTATGATATTATTACCTAATGGGATGTTCTCCGCATGGTTTTGGTCGTTCCATGATAGACACCCACTTATCGTCGTAGCTGAATAACGATAAATCCAAGTAAGGTGAGCTGCTATATGATTGCGCGCTTATTGGTAGTTGGCCCAATATTCTTTTGATGGCCTCGGTTTTGCCGCCGTATTTTGCACTTATTATTGTTTGCTTGAATCTATGGTGCAAGAGACGAGCGTATATATTGTTAGCTGTACTGCAACTAAATCGACTATCATTATAGACGTGTGCGTTTCGAAAATTGTCACAGAAATTTTCCAGCAAGTCCAACAACTCTTTCGATATGTTTTCGTAAATGGCTAAAACTTTGCTCTCTACCATATTATAAACGACGTAAAAGGATGGTTGACTACTCGCATCATTTGATTTCAAAGTTACCACATCCTCACTGGCATATTTTAGTAGAATATGATTTTCGTCTAGTAGCTGCATTTTCCAAATCCTCAACGACTTAAAATTTTCGAAGTACTGATAAAATTTTCTTATTTCGTAAGGATCATTTGTTCTTTGACTTATACTATAGGCCCTTCGAAATAGGAATGTCATCATGCGGTGCTTGAGAGAATTCATTAAATTCTCCCTGAAGGCACGTTCATTGGGGAATACTGAACTGAAGTAATAAGCATCATCTTCATAACAAAATCTTCCAATTTTTCTAACATCAACAAACATGCCATCCAATATTTGGAATATATGAATGACTTGATGTTGCACTGAAAGCACAGCCAATATGTCTTTGTACAAATAAAGACCTTGATTGTGAGACATAAATATTTTGTCCACTTTGAAATTCCTTGTATCACATAATTTTCCCAATTTTAAGTCAATTAAATGTAATGTATAATCTTCTAATGGTGCCCTAAAAATAAGATATAATCAATTCATTTCTTTATGATTTAATTAATTGTAAGCATTACTTACTTTGGGTTTGGTGTCACTGATTCATTATTAGTATAAATCTCATAAAAATGTGGCCTTAGATTTTCTGGTATATAACATGCAGACCCTATAATAACATATCTTCCATCCTCACTAAATAGACTGCATTCTCGATTAAGCTGCTCTGAACTGGGAGCCACATTTACAGTATACTTCAACTTGAAAAATCTCTCAAATATTTTACTTTTTATCTCAAAATGTTGTTTATCATTTTGTTGACTTATATTTTGTAACAAATCACCAGCTGCACTAGAACCTCTATATACATAAATTTCCAATGATGTTTGATCTGATGAAAATGCAATAAAATATTTCCCACATGGACTAAATTTTCTCAAGAAGCAAGGTGGCTTTTCAATGTTTATAACAGTAAAATTTGGAAATACGTTTTGGTAAAATTGTCTGGCTACATGGTAATGTGTACCAGGTCTTTTGCTTCCAAACGTTTCGCGATTTATTAACCTAATAACAATATTTTGAGGGGGCACTTTTGGTGGTTTTGCAAATAAATCCATTATAAACTAAAACTACATATACATTATACAAACTAAATTAATAAAAAGTAAACAATGTATATACAATTTAAATGAGGTTAAGTTAATGTCAAAAAAAAAAAATGTGGAATAACTAAAAAATTCTAAAATCCAGGTAGACCACCTATTTTTTTTTATATTTCTGGAAATATTTAGTTAATCATATATATGTGTCGTTTCAAGAGATCGTTACAATATTTTATAAAGATATTCTAGTATATGTAGAGTAAATCTAAATTAATTTTATTGTACGTTTTTCTAGAAAATATCGTATTTATTTTGATGTTGGTAGGCCCGATCGTTTTTGACGTGTTATTCTGACAGTATATTATTTTCTCAAGAAATTTCCGGAATAATTTGATAATCTTAATTCAGCATAAAAATGGTTGATTATAGTAAGTGGAAGAATATTGAGGTAAGATATTAATATTTAATTATATATCAGAATTATGTTAACGAAATTATTATTTATTTTTTCTATAGATTTCTGATGATGAAGATGATACTCATCCTAACATTGATACACCCTCATTATTTAGATGGAGACATCAGGCAAGAGTTGAAAGAATGGAGAATTATGAACAAGAGGTGGAATCTTATGCAAAACATAGATCAGAACATGAAAACAAATTGAAAGAGGTGAAGCAAAAAATTGAAAATTCTGCACCAAATCTTGATGCACTTAAGAAAAGTTTAGAGGAATTAGAAAAAGAACATGTAAACATCATAAAGAAAGGTGATGAATTGAAGAAGAAGGAAAAAGTAATGCCATGGAATGTAGATACAATTAGTAAACCTGGATTTGCAAAAACTGTAATTAATACAAAACCATCAAAATCCAAACAAGAAACTTTAACTGAAGAGGAGCGTGAAGCTCGCATGGAGAAATTTATTAAAGAGAATGAAAAAGATTTAAAACATTATGGCATGTTGAGGCGTTTTGAAGATTCTAAGGCTTTTTTAAAAGCACATAGCCATTTGGTGTGTGAGGATACTGCAAATTATTTAGTAATTTGGTGTATAAATTTGGAAATGGAGAAGAAATGTGATTTAATGGCCCATGTTGCTCACCAAACAATTTGTATGCAATGTATTTTGGAACTGGCTAAACATTTAGATTATGATCCAAGGGCATGCTTGGAATCATTTTTCATGAGGATTCAGATGGCTGATCCAGAATATAAAGCTTCATTTGATGAAGAACTGAAACTTTTCAAGCAGAGGATTACTAAGAGAGCTCATGAAAAGATGGAAGAAGCTATTAAAGAAGCTGAAGAAGAAGAGAGGCAGCAGAGATTGGGACCTGGTGGTTTAGATCCTATAGAAGTATTTGAGTCTTTGCCTGATGAATTAAAAAAATGCTTTGAATCACAGGAAATAGGTTTATTGCAAGAGACCATTGCAAACATGCCAGAAGAAGATGCTAAATACCACATGAAGAGATGTGTTGATTCTGGTTTATGGATTCCCAATGCCAATAAGGATAAGGATGATACTGCAGAAGGAGAAGAAGATGCAAACAACGAATAAGCCTTCATCATTTGCTAATTTTTTCATTTTTTTTCAGACACTGCAACATTTTTATTCAATATAAAAACACATACTGTACTGTAAATTTTTAAGAAATATATCAATTCAGATTTATATATAAATGTTTTAATTTACTATTGTATCTCGCATATTTCATTAACTTAGAATATTTTATATGTTCATGTCTAAAATAATTGTATAATTGTTTCCATGTGACACAAGCGAAACTAAAAATAATGTTTATACAACAAAGCTAATATAAACAGGCCCGCTTATCATGTCTCTTTAATATGTTTATGTATTAGAGTGGTTCTTACACAAATATTTTTTACAAATATACTTGCATCATTTCCAATTTTTAGTTCATTGGATGATAAAAGACGAATATTTTCTGAATAACGGTATTCTTTAATAAACCAACTGATTTTTTTGCAATAGACTGAAATATCTTGTGCAGTCCATTTTAAAATTTTGGTTACACAATACTCTTGTTGCTACTTCATTAAATTCTTGATTCAATATACATAGATCTATTATTTAAGACAACCAAACAAAACATAGCGCCTTAACTTTATTAAACTTATTTCTTTTGTTATTGAACAAAAACCTCCATTTACTTCTTTCAGTTACAACATTGGTGCATAAACAACCCACCACAACCAACTTAAAGCATCATTGTTTCTAGCTTATTTTAGGTTGAACCATATTTTAAACCATTTAATTTACCATATTAATATTTTAATGATGTTTTTGTAGATTATTCCCCATTAAATAACTATTGATAACAATCACGTACGTGATCACGTACCTAGCAGATACTATAAGATACCACTCAATACCACTGTAAGATACTTTATATATGTTGTAAACAAGTATTAAAGTTATTCCGAAACTTCCACTAGATGTCGTTACTTATGTGCGACGCAATACATTTTCCAATAATCAGTGACAAAACAAAAAAAAGTTATCTGTCATTTCGTTAACATTCGTTACTACACTTTCTGTCTACATCAGTCCATTGAGTCCATTAGTCTACATTAGTAAATGAGTAGATAGTGGAGGTTTATATTTTGCAAATTGTTTGTCATTGTGTATAGTTCTGTTAATATTTGTGTTTGTTTAAATAATTGGTGAACATGTTGTTGGAACTGTGTCTAAACCTAGTGGAGGAGCAAAAGTACACGCGTTTTATGACATTTTCAACAATGATATGGACTATTAATAAGTGCAATCTATGACATAACACAAAATACTCATATTCAAATCATAAAAAAAATAAAATATAATTTCAATAGATAAATGGCAAACTCTTTAAAACGCAACCGTTCTCGTAGACGTATAGCTGCAATCACATTCTTGTCAAACATATCATTGGATGGCAGTTACAGAGACACTCGACTCTCTCTGTTGCCAAGGAATGGTGCAATCACAAAGAATGACCCCCTATCTCTTTGCAAAGTTGAAGACACTCTTCTTGAGGAGTCTGATGAGCCAGATGATTGTTTTAGCGATGCAGAACATTTGAACAGAAATCGTCAATTGCATAAGACAGGCAAAATTGATACTCACTCATTGAGCTCTGACAGTGAAAGCATTTTAACACCAATAAAGAATTTTGAGGAGCGCCATTCAAAGGATCGCAGCACAGTAGATGATAAAAAGTTCACCTCCAAAATTAAGAAGAAATTTACTTATCAGACATCATTAGGCAGTGACACTGAGAGACATCATTATGGAAGTAGCAATGAGAGTATTGGTCCAATCTGTGGTGATATAGCTAAAGAAATAAATTAGAAATTTTTATTATAATGCAATTTTTGAATTACAGGGAGAAAGAAAACTAGTCCTGCACCACCTATTATTCCTGAAGATGTTACACACAAGGAGGTTAAATTCATGAAACCCTCAAAAAATGCAAAATTCAAAGGAGAACGATTGGTTATGGTAACTACAAAACATGTTCCATTCTTTGTATGTTCATTTATACCATACTCCAGGCAGAGATATAACAGGTACTTGAATTAGATAATTAATATTAATAATGATCTTAAATACTATATCAAACTCTGTTTTGTATTAGGAAAAGAAATGTATCTGGACCTAGGCCATTGTCTGTATTGGGAGATGGATTAGATCCATTTGATATGCTTGGAATTGAGAAAGGAAGAGATGGACAGGTGAGTACAAATGAATACAAAGATAATAACCTTATAACATATATCTATAATTTAGGAGGTATCATATGGGAAATTGTTGGTGCCCACTAATAAGAACAAAGATCGACGAGGGAACACTATCGACGACCCGCATGATCTTGCTGCGAAGCGTTATAACAGTAGAGGTCATCATATTGTTGCCAGGTAATGTGAGCTAACAGATTTAACAGTAGTACACATTTTTGCTAGATTTATTTTGCTTTTCACACAACATGTTCTCTTCTTATTTTTATGTTTTCAGGACTAAAATCATTACATGGCAGCCTGGCTATAAATGGTAATGCACAGTATTATTTCATACAATTTTATTTATTTCTGCTTTAGTGTATGACATTTATTGAGCTTGCATGGCTTGCTGCAGATAGAGCTTTATACATTATATTTTTCTTTTTAATATGCTCGGTTATGATGGCATGCGTCAATATCATTAGTTATACTAATTCTTTTAACAGGAAAAGTAAAGTAAAAATGTTTCTTGTGCATACTGGATGAAATACCATAAAACACTGTTAGTCCTAACAGTGTTGCATCAGGCAAATTTTCATTTGAGGCCCCCTCTTGATTTGAAATAGAGAAAATCATAGAGCCCTAAAGAACAGTTACAAAAATGTATGATGCGAGGGTGGTGTGTCGGTTCTCGGACAGCCACGTTAAGAAATTCGTTGGCATTAGACACCCGTTAGTTTATTTTTTTTATAATAAATATTTATATCAATTATTATTGATACAAATTTCTATGGCTATATTTCTTTCGGGTTTATCGTATCGAACTAACTTTTTCGCAGTATTGTAGTTTCGCCACTGGTTATGGGAGTACCCCGTTATAAGAAACTGAGAATTAGTTATAGGAGGGTTTAATGTTTGTTTGTAAATATATTGTTAAATCTATTAATTAATATGAAAATATTTGTTCCTTATAGGTGTTTCTCATATGATCAAGGATCACAAAGAGCATCTGCTCACATGATGGCTACATCGCCACCGTCGGATTCTTTTAAAGAGGACAAACTTCACCACCACAGCTCATTAGTATATCATCCAAATTTGCTCGACGATCCAGAATTGATTGCCGGAAAACATCGTACATTATTGACTTTTACCTCCTACATGACCTCCGTCATTGACTATGTGCGACCGACAGATTTGAAGAAGGAAATCAACGACAAGTTCAGAGAAAAATTTCCCCACATTCAGCTAACCTTGAGTAAACTAAGAAGGTTTGAATATTCTTATAGTAACTATACAGGTACCCGAAGATATTGATTATTTTTATTTCAGTTTGAAGCGAGAGATGCGCAAGATCGTAAAGGTAGAAATTGGAGTCGATTTGTTGACTGTAGCTCAAGCGTATGTCTATTTTGAGAAGCTGATCCTTCTAGGACTTATAAACAAAGCGAATCGGAAGTTGTGCGCTGCTGCTAGTTTGTTATTATCCGCCAAGCTGAATGATATTAAAGGCGACTCATTGAAAGCACTCATCGAACGATCAGAAAATGTTTTCCGTTTAAACCGGAAAGAACTGATGTCCGCCGAATTTGCGGTGCTCGTCGCACTCGAATTCGGTCTGCACGTGCCCACCTACGAAGTTTTCCCACATTATCAAAGGCTCATTTACGAGTCCTAAAATTTTATTCAAAATTCCCTGTTAATTTAGATTTATAGGTTGTATATATTTCCAAAAAATGTTTACTTACATTAATTCTTTAATTGAATGAATATATTCTAGTAAATTGTTTATTCCCATTGTGATATATTTACATTACGCTAACTCCATGTTTTTTTTGAACAGTCATTGCACTTCGAATAACCTAACATTTTTTAGACAACAATCAAACATAACCTTTATTATGGATATTAGAATAACAAATGGATTTAAATATATGAACTAATATCCAAGCTAACAATGTACTGAAATAATTTTCTATGTACAAATTTATTTAATTATTCCAAATATACATTTACAAAATGTTTTCAGTTAGCATTGCTATATGTATTGAATCTCTTTAGTTTTTAAATTCAAGTAGAAAATGTTAACTTTGTTTTAAAACTAACTACTTGCATCCAAAAGAAGCTAAATTAAGTAGTTTCGATAATCTTGAAAATTCAGTGATATAAACCAGAAACAAAATAATAGTTTTTAAGAATGATGATTCATTTTCTGGATTAAATCCAAACCTGATGATAGAATCAATAATTCTATTTGAATGCTCTTTACATTTTAAGTACTCCAACTTTAGAATATCAACATAAAGAAATAACAACGTGGGGTTAAAAACATAAATATAGCATTTAGCACATGCCTTTCCACCAACAAACGGTAATTGTGGCGATGATAACTATCAAAAGGATGTACTATCTGACGAAAAATATAATGATACATTAGTATAATTGTGATACATTAATAAATCGTAACATCTAGTAACTATTTTTTTGATTAAGGAAATATTTTGAACAATAAAAGCGTTATAATTATTATTGTATATATGTTATCTGTAAAGAATATAATAAATATACTAAATAAAAAGTATTTTGCTGTATTTTCATATATTGCTATTTACATATGAATCACATTCGTGATCTATTACAAAATCTTTGGCAGAAAGTTTTTTGATCGACACCCTTTGGTCCAAATTAGGGTCAATAAATATTTGTTAAAAATAAATCCTACTTGATATTTTACATTGTAAAAATGTACGCAATTATTATTTTATTCAATAAAAATGCAATGAATTTTCTACTATATATGTACCTTTTATTTGCGTATGTTCCTTTCCGGGCTTTAGGCCATACTAGTGGATTTGTGTCAGGTTTATTCAGAATTGTTTGCATCGGGTGACCAAAAAAAAAAACACGCTTCTAATATTTTTTAGCATTATTTTATAGTTTCTTAATAAATCATATTTTACAAGAAATTGAATCCATTAATATTTCAGCGAAAGTGGATGATGTATTCGCAGATCTAGTTTTAAAAATAAACAATTTTGAACCACTTTGCTTAATTATTATAGATAGTAAATGATCCTACCGATATATAACTGGCAATCTGCGTCGACAGGACCCTAAATATGAAGGGGTTTCCAGAAGGAATCTCATTATTGGAAGAAGAAATATTTCTAAATGGAGCATACAAGAAAAAAAAAGATTAATGAAAGAAAAAAAACATGAATCGAAATTATCCTTTATCAAAATTTTGTTCAGGTTTCGGTTTTTAAAATGAGCAATTTACGTTCCGGTTACAGTTACGGTTCTATTACAAATTCCGATTAATTTCGGTTTTCGGTTCTGTTTCGATTAGACTCTCTGACCTTATCCTAAGTAAAAAAATATAAGGCTAATAAATGAATTTGAAGTTGTTGTCAGTCCCATCATTTAGTACGAAATATTATCTAAGGTTAATACAACTTAAAAAAAAGTTTTCATACATCACACAGTGAAATATAATATAAAAAACAATTTTTCAGAAGTATATCCAAATTTATTAATTGATTTGTTTTAACTTTTGACGTAATTGAAGATTTTACCGCAAAATCGAAAAGAAAAATAATAATATGATACTAAATAATGTTCAATTAAATATCTTGCCCTTTTTCTAACCCTTTCATATTTATCGGCTCCCACAAATAACCCTTTGCAGCAGTTGACTTTTTGATTTATTATTGTATTGAGTTTTTATTTTATAATTTATTGCAATATTATTATTATTTGAACAAAATTTCAGTTACCTAACAGGAAAATTGGCAATGTTGTATTATATTCGTTCGAATTTTAAATGTACTTGAACGAATTTTACGAGATTCTGCTATAATATAAAAAAACTAGTTTTTTTTTTAATTTATGCAATTTCATAAATAAAAAAATAATAATTTATTGGCCAGACAGTAAATATACAACAAAATACATAATATTAAAAACGAAATAATAACTCTCAAAATAAGTAAATAAATTCTAACATAAATTAACAAAAACAAATAGTTAACATGCTGGCCAAAGGGCAACGTGTAGGAACTAGAAGTGTTTCATAAATATTTTATCATAAACGCATTATTTTTCAAGAATGCGAAAATTGATCAAAACAATTGTGTGTATGTAATTAAATTAGTTAAAATAAAAAAATCTATTTGTTTAAAACAAATATCTCGACTATAATTAAGAATTAATAATATTTATTACGTCGGAATAATAAAAAAAACTTCGTCCATGTGAAACCGACTTTTTCTGAAATCCTTGAGATCTTTTAACATTCAGAAGGTCTCTCATCGGCCGTTTATAGTCTCTCTTTCAAGGACACTGGATTTCATTAATAGGAATAACTACGTGATCATCGAAATCTTACTACAAGGTCCGAATTATTTTTTTTTATAAAATTGCTAATTTGTTAAGTTTGATTTAGTTGCGCAATTGACGATCCCATGAATAGTAAAATATTGTATATTATTTCTGAATATTTGACTATATGTTAATTTTAATATGTTTTATCATATCATAGATTTCTTTAAATTATGTCTCGCGAATTTGAAATTCAAATTACTTCGCATTATCAATTTAGAACAGTATTGCCAATATAAATGAATTCAGTGTATAAATAATATTTTCGTGGTAATATTCATGTGTTGCTAATAATGATAGTGGCAGTGTTAACTGTGACTAATTAACTGTACATAGTGCTAAGAAGTGGTAATTCTTTCGGTTGTACAACAAACTTGGCGCGCAAGTTTTGAATCGAAAGTATATATTGATCGGGTGCGCGACACTAGAGATCGTGTGACGTAGAGTATCACGCCACGTTCCCCCACCATCGAACGACGCAACGCGATTGGTCGGCAGACACCATCCGAAAATACTCGCGACACCAAAAGACACCAAACAGAAGAACACACACGCCAAAGAACTGAACAAGTACGCAGTGTGTGTGTCTCTGTGCTTGTGTGTCGGTTTTTAATTTTTTTCCTTTGCGGATTCTGGAGCCACCACGACCTCGCATTTTCCACAACATCGTGGAATACAATTGAACCCGAAAGAAAAGAAAGAATCGCACGCGATTTCCTCGCTGACGATTCTTTTCACGCTTTCCTTCAGATCATCATCCCACCAGAGCCAGTATAAAAATACAAAACACGCCCGGCTCTTCTGGAAGAGATTCCTCCAATTCAAACTTCACGTGTACCTATTAGCTACATTAATTTTTCTGTTTGTTTCTTCAATTAACTGCAAGTTTTGGTGAGTCGATTTTCTGTTTCACAATTAATCATGCGAAATATGTTCACCCAAAAATTAAATTTCAATCTACTACACATTTTTTTTTTCTTTTACGATGTATGTCACAAAAATTTCAGTATTTACAAAAAATATTTTTCATATATGCCTTTATCATTTTCAACATTCAAATATTTGTTTAGGTACATTCTAGGGTTATATAATGACGTTAACGCAAGAAAGATGTTAAGTCGTGTTTGAGGTTAACTCACGAATGTTTATGAGTGTTGTTACGTGCAGTGCCTAGTTGGTTTCTGCAAATTGTTGCTCGATTTAAAAATAAAATTCTTGTCGATAAAAATAAATTGCATTCGGGATAAACATTGGTGGAGGCATAGCGCGAACTTTACACGCATGTCATTGGCATTGATATTTTCTTTTTATTTTTTATTTACAGTTACGCAGCAATTTGTTGCGTTCAATTATGCAAATCAGGCTATGTTGCAACTGCCGAAAGAAACATAAACAATTCAAAACGCTAATATCGAGACCCATGTGTCATTGTTATCGCCCGCAACTATGTATCTGTCAGATTAGCAACTTCATCTGTCAGAAACTACTTCACGTATTATGGAGTAGTAGTATGTATTATTGCGTAACTAGTTTGCGTACGTAAATTAACACGTGGACCAATTTAAAAGCCCTCCTTTCCCTCCATTCAGAACGCTATGCTATTATGTAATTTTCATTAAATGTCGGTAATAGCAAATTGGATGTGGAAATTAGATACATTAGCGAGCAGACATAAAATGATAATTGTTGAAGATATCGTTGTTTATTTTTAAATTTATTTTTACGCGTGTCCATATATATATATATATATATGGACAATACGGTTTACCCTTTCTGGTTGGATTGAATGACTCACAAATGTACAAATGGTTATGGTTTATAGCTAGATGGAATTAAAATATTATGGTGAATACAGATACCATTACTAATGTAATAACAAAATTTATTATATACATACATATAAAGCAAATTATTATTATTTTGAAATGTATCAATAATTAGAAATAATGCTTTGTTTTCATAAACAATTACAATGTTATATTGGAAATAATGAACTTATTTATTTAATACATCTATAAATAACAGTGATCATGAACGGAAAATGTAGACAATGTGCACTTTAGAGAGGAATGAACTTTTTCTATTTCTCAACTTGACCTACTCCAAAGAAACTCACTGTATCTGATGGTTAGGTGAATATGCATTCAGCTATGCCGGGCACAGTTGTTGTGCAGCCATTGAAAAATTACAGTAAGATGGAATTCTGTTCAACTGTTATTTTATTCCTATTTACTTTTATAATAATGTAAATTTACTATTACAAACTGAAACAGTGATAAAACATGAAAGCAATATAATAATTTATAATTAACTAGTTATCCAAAAAAGGACATTTATTATTACTAT